ATTTATACGAGAATGTTACATAAGAAATGTTATGTAAGAAACATGAAGACATTTAGTTCAAAAAGCGATTTCTTATTTTACTTATACAAAGCTTAAGTAACCAAAAAGACTAGCCGATCATGTTAGCCTTTTTCATGATGCCATCACTAAAAAAAGATACTTATATTGCAAAATGACTTAAATGGAACCTGAGGTGAGGGGTTAAGAGCTCTAGAATTCTTTTCTTCTCTTTTCCTCCCCTGGCTTGTCTTTTCCTTCATGACAACATTTTCTTCCTATGAAATTCAATTCCAACTCTTTTTGAGCATAGGAGTCAGAGAGTGAGGGGCGGGAGGAAAGGCCAGGACGGAGAGATGTCCTAGCCTCAGGGGGCTTGAGAATCACCCAGAGTGTGGATGAAAAATGCAGATGCCAGGGGCCACCCCAGAGATTCAGATTTAGGAGCTGTGACCAAGGTCTGAGCCTGGGCTTCTAGTGATTTCCCAGGTGGTGCTTGTGTTGCCTAACCGTGGATCACGTGTTGCCTGGTTCCCAGAGACAGAGCAGTGAGAAAGTGAGGTCAAAGACACCAGGCTCAGGTGCTGTGAAAACACCTCTGGTTTCTTCTCTCTCTGCAGATTCTTTTGTTTGTGTGATTTTGCCAAAGTTCCTTAACTTCTGAAATCTCAGTTTTACAACTGGAAAGTAAGAGGGCAGCTCCAGATCAGGTTTTCAAACCGTGCTTGAAGGCAGTCTATAAGTACAACAGGATGCCTTGGGAGCCAAAGGGAGAGATGGGAGGAGGGGGTCCAATGAGCTCTTTTCTTTTCACGGCTCCTGACCACTCCTACTTCAACACTTTTATCTTTTATCTCTTTCATATATTCTACTTCTGGTTGTGGTATCATTTTAAAAAGATTGTATAACTCAAATTTAAAGGAAATGAAAAATCCGAGTCTGAAAATGACTCATTGCTTTTTTTAAAATGTGCAGAACCGACTCTGGATTTAGTAGACTTCCAGAAATTCTCTGGTCCTTCTAGGCATCCCAAGTGTGCTACAAGGGTAGCAGCAAATGCCTTCTCTCTGCCCATGAATGTAACACTTGAGCCTTGTACACAGGAGGCCCATTGTCTGATGTGTTTTTACCTAAACAGACCGAAGAGAGTAGATGGCAACATCAAGCATTTCTCTGCAGAGTCACGTCTGATTCATTAAAAATCTAACCTTCCCCGAAATAGATATTAATTGCCTTCTGTTGCAGAATATTTTAGAACATAATTCTTAATTATGTCTCCAACTATTATGTGATTTGACCATTTTGGAGCTAAAAACCTATCCCATGGAATTCCACTTAGAGTAGTTTGTTCCAACTCTCGTCACACCGTCAGTTTGTCTGTTTTATACACCATGCTAATTTTTGCATGGTGGTAGTATTTCATTATAATCAGCCTTCATTTTTAATAAGACCATGTATATATCACATTATAGATTTCAGTCTTTGTACGAATTGAAAGCTATTAATCTTCCCAGGGTTAGGTTATGTTAACCAGATTGTAATGTTCTTTTTATTATGTTCCTTATATCCCCTTTATCTCATACTGCACCAATACCTTTCTACTATCTTGGAATAAATTAATTCCAGTTATGAGATGAAAAATTTTACTGTAAAAAATAGAAACTGCAGTGTAAGTTTTTGTCATATTGTCAACTGGAACTGGTATGTTTTATTCTAACTAGAAACTTGAGTTGACTCCTTGATTTTTAATAGTGGGGTAGGAAAATGAAGATTGGTATCTTTCAGTATCCACTCATTCATTCGTTCAGCAATCTTGTATTAGGAATTCTATGTGCTAGGCACAGGGGGTGTATTAGAGGTAGGAAAATAAGACTGTGTCCCTGCCTGCAGGCATTTCCCAGTCTATGTCATAGATAGAGAACTATTCGGTGAGTAGATAAGATGTGACCCACAGTAGCTTTGACAAGAGGTACAATGACAACAGCAGCTTACTGGTAGAGAAAGGACGTGAGAGGGACTTCCTGGCTATTGCTGTGGCAAGTCCCCAAGGAAAGGGACCAGCTACTCTAAAGGCAATGACCAAAGGCAAGTTGCAAACTTAGGTCTAATAACCTAGAGATGGGTAACTAAAGGATGGGATCTGGTAGAATGGGAGGAAGGTGACAGATAGCACCTTGGTTTGGGAAGTGAAGGCAAGGTAGGTTTTATCCAGAAAGAAGCAATACCTAGATAACAGCCAGGGTTGAGTTCCTTAGAGAGAACTGGCAAAGTGTAGTCAGGCACCCAGGGTTCAAAGCCAAGTTCTAACTTCAGCTAACGCAGGGCCCTGGAGTATAAACCACAGCCAAAGCAGTCCACCCTGAAGGACTGAGGCCCTGAGGTAGTTGCTAATGAGAGAGGCTGCAGCCCGAGCAAATGCAGCGCATGCCTACTGGCTGCCGGCTTGAAGCTGATGGACCGCGCAGAAAGCACTTCCTATGCTGTGTGGCGTTCCACAAGTAAGTGCTCAATGTTTGCCGACAGTACTGCTGCCGCTGCTATTTGTGTCATTATGAGACTCAGGAAGAGAATCTAATACAGGAGTTAATCTGTTGGTGAGCCTAGGGCTTCTAATATTTGACTGGCTGATTTTTATTGAACCAAGATTAGACACAGCCATTACTTTACAGGCAGCAGCTGTGAAGAATCCAGAACGGTGAAGAATAATAACTTGCTGTAGCCTGACAGTTACTTTCTAGCTGGACGACCTCATCCTGCTTCAGTTTCCTTACATGTACAATGGAGATAATACCAACCTGACTCGGCTGGTGCTGGGAATTAAGGGGACGAGTACACTGGATTCATTTAGGGCAATATCTAACACTAGTGAGTGCTCAGCTAAACCTCACACTGTGTCTGCTAGTGGGCATCTGGGTCCTGACACCCTCTGGAGTAGGTTTAAGAAGTTCACTGGTTCAGAGGCGCCTGGATAGCTCAGTCAGTTGAGCGTCAGACTCTTGGTTTCAGCTCAGGTCATGATCTCAGGGACATGGGATCAAGCCCTTTGTAGGGCTCCACGCTCAGCACAGAGTTGGCTTGGGAATTCTCTCTCCCTCTCTCTTTACCCCTCCCGCCTTTTGCATATATGTGCTCTCTCTCAATAGATAGATAGATAGATAGATAGATAGGTCTTTTTTTTTTTTTAAAATTTTTTTATTTATTTATGAGAGAGAGAGAGAGAGCGAGCACAGGCAGACAGAATGGCAGGCAGAGGCAGAGGGAGAAGCAGGCTCCCTGCAGAGCAAGGAGCCCGATGTGGGACTCGATCCCAGGACGCTGGGATCATGACCTGAGCCGAAGGCAGCTGCTTAACCAACTGAGCCACCCAGGCGTCCCTAGATAGGTCTTTTTAAAAAGAAGTTCACTGGTTTAGAGCTGGGAAGGGCTGATCTTTCAGCCTGCAGGTCGTTAGCCCTGTAGCTGGTAAAGTCGAGAACAGTCAAGAGCTAACAAAGCCACGTTGAAAATGGGAAGTGCCCATTTTCACAACTTTTGTGCTATGTGTCATTTTCCCCTAGAATAGTTTTTTTTTTTTTAAAGACAGGGAGAAGAATAATTACAGCAGATAGCATGCAGTGTTTTTTTTTTACAACATATTTTCAAAAATTGTGATGAGGAAAATACATCATTCCTGTGAAGAAACAGCATAAAGAAAATGATTTGAGAAATCTTGCAGAAAGACCTAAGGTTCTTAACCTAAAACAAGTGTCAGAAGGAAGTCACAGGAGGCGGAAGAAATTATAGTAATCACGATGAAGTCTAGAGCTTGCATCAATCACCAGAATGGCAGCAGAAACATTCATCCTATGCCTCTTCAATGCTAGCCCTGAGTGTTCAGTTGCCTGGCCGGTTAAGATTGGTGTGGGCATCAGAGGGAACGGGCGGTAGGCTCTGATGCTGAGTGCAGTTGGGGAAAGCAGAGTCTGACCTTGCCTCTGACTTCAGTCTTGGATTTGATTCCATGGAACTACCATATTCTGCAAATCCCTTGAAGACTTACCACCTTTTCCATGATACCAAGCAAGAGTCCTTAGAGGCTTGGTTAGCCCTTTTCCATTCTAAGAGTAAGCCACATCTACATTTCTAGAGATAGAGACTGCAGGCTCTGACCTTCCATCTAGAAGCCCTTGCCTGTTCACCCAGAAGTATACAATGCTGTTGCCTTGAAATCGGATTTCAATTTTCATAGTTTTGAGCATATCAGAACCGCTCCTGCTAACCCTCTGTCCTCTGGGAACCCTAAACTTGCTTGACTGGAATCTTAGAATCCACTTGACTCTTAACTGTCTTACCCAGCAAACTTTTCTATTTTGTTCTTCTTCTGTAGACTTTTGAGCATCATCCAGACTTCTCAGTTTATTTTCATACTTGGCCTCTTTTCTGCTAAGTTGAGGTTTATGCCTAATCTCTTTAGCCTAATCAAGCCTAGTCCCATCCCTGACTTACAGCTTTTCATTGCTAAATGAAATATCTAAAATATACTTTGACAAAGTCACAAAGAAAATTCTTGTTGGTTCAGTGTTTATATTTGCACTCAAGATAACATTTGAGACTGTGCTACTCAAAGAATTTGGTGACAACTTTCTTTATCACTCCCATATCTCATCATGCATCGAGTCTTTTTACTTCATAAAAATGCTTTTAGCTCTTTAAATACTTTTCATATCTATATTAGCTAAGAGAGGCTAACTGCTATATCAAACAGTTCTCCAAATGTGTGACTGTAAATGGCTTTAAAAAGATAGCAGTGTATTTCTTTCTTATGTAAACAGTCCAAGGTGATTTCATGTTAGTCAGGGTTAGGTGTGAGGGAGGGGAGGAGGAGTAGCAATCCATGAGAGCGACAAGACTCTTCCATCTTCAATGCCCAGTTTCCAAGGTTGTCCCTCTGAAGACATTCTGGAGCCAAAAGGGGAAATACAGGATGTCTGTCACAAGAGGTGGCCCATATCCCTTGAACTCACCTTGCTCTGGCTAGAAGTCAGTCCTGTGGCCCCAGGTAATAGCAGAGTGGCTGGAAACGAAGTCTAGCTGGGTACCTAAAAAGAAGCATAGAGAAGTTTCAAGAACAGTTAGCAGTCGCAGCCCCATTATTGTTCATGCCCTGCCCTCTATTCACATGGAGCCTGAATCACCTCTCAAACTGTTGGCCATATCAGCTTCTTATCTTTTACCTAGACCCTCAGTCCCCCTCAACTCTCTGCCACATTTATGCCTGGGATACTTTTTTAGATGTGACTAATCCTCCACAGCTTTAAGGCTAAAAGGACAACGTGCTTAAGTAAATGTATGATGCCAATTCCCTCTGGAGCACAAGCTCCCAGAACCCCCTCACAAAGAGCCTTTACTCCAGCCATAATGGAATTATTTCATTTTCTAATCCATAATGAGAATATGTTGCAAACACTGATGTGGCATGAGATACAGCTCTGACCAGTATATTACTAGCTTGTTTATTTTGCACAATAACCTTATAAAGTAGACAGCAGTATTATTCCCATTTCCCAGGGGAAGAAACCCAGTGAAGGAGAATGCCTGAGGTGCTATAGTTTTTTAGTGGCACAGCTTGGAATACAGCCCAAAGAGTGGGGATTCTGGATTTTTACTCACTGTATTATCACACCTCTCCCAAAGTTACTGTACATGCCATTCATTTCTTCCCTGAATGCCCCTCCTCTGTCTTCATCCAGTTCCTCAAACTCTAAGAATTAACTCAAGCTTGCATCTCTTTTTTCAGGATGCCATCTTTTATATTAGCCTAACTTAGTTCTAAATCAATGCTTCATATTAGTTTGCTAATCAATGACATTCATCAATGACATTGTAGGAAATTGTTATGTTATACTTGCTAGGTTCCCCATGCACTCTACAGCCCACTCTCCAGAGAGCCAGGTTTTGTATCGCTAAATGATACTTATTTCTTTCTTTCTGGACAGAAGAAATTTTATAAATTGCAATGATTTTTCAGTTGTCCAGACTCAACATTTTTACAGGGTTCAAATTTGTACCAACAACCCCTTTCTCTTGCTCCTCCACATGGAAACACTGTAGAAATTATATTTTACAGGTAGTATGGTATTGCCTGAGAAGGGCTTCTAAGTTTTATGGACTTAGAAGAACTACCTAGTTTTTTTTTCTACTTCTCAGAATGGAAAATCCTCAGAGCAATTTTCATCTGAAGTGCTGCATTTGGGTTCTTTCACAATTCCACAACCCTGAGTCAAGTAATGGATGGTGTACAGGCCACAGCATCTCTTGGCTCACCAAGAGCATCTCCTTTTGCTACTCTCAGTGTTCAAGAAATGGGGAAAGTCAGCTAGGTTTACAGAATAGGTAAGAGACTCAGAGACATACCTTTGATAAGTCTCAAATCATTTCCTGTTTATAAAAGCACATGTTAATACACCCATAAAATCTCCAAATGAATGGTCTTTTACTTTTCCTTCAAAATCTCCATGGGAAAAGGTACTTCTGACTTTCAAAGTGAATAAAAATAATGAACCCTGATTACCAGGTATGTTTAAACTGATTTGCAAAGCAAGTGGAAATCATCTTAGTGCATGGTGATAAAAATCTTTTAGACATTGGAGGACAGATTGACTTAAGGTTCTATATTTTCTAAACTAGTGAATATTTGGACGTAAGTGGCTGTTACTCAGTTTGAATTTGTCTTCTCTATTTATGTTCACTTAATTAAAAATGGCAATTTGTGAAAATTAAATTTGTAAGTTTTTCATAGCAATCTAGTGTTTATTTCAGATATTAAATTTGGATACGGAGTGACTATAGAACATTATTACAAACTGATCTCTGTAGTCTTTCTCGGAGTAACAATTGCCAAAATTGAGGTTAGCAGTTTACCCCCCACCAATACCAATAAGTTCCTTGCACTTGCTCCTCTGAAATGCTTATATTATTGTTCAGTACCTGACTTCTCCACTCAAGCAGAGATGGGGACTGCATCTGTCCTGTTTACCACTATAGACCCAGTGCCTAGCACCATGACTAGAACATTTACAGGTGTTGAATCAGTTTCATTGTCTACCTGTTCACACTGGGACAAAAGTCTTTGCAAGTATTCTGCCACCATTTGTTTAGATTCAAGCCAAATATGGCTTGTAATGACATTATAGATGTTATCTCTGCTGTCCTACTCAATATTCCTCCTCCTCCTACAATGTTTAACCTGATTGACAATGGCCCCTACTACTTATAACATTGGCCTTTTAGGGGGAGCACTTGTCACTACATCTTATGTAATAGTTTTATGATGTTGAAAACTATTTCCTGTGATCATGTTGTGTTCTCAAATGGCAAACTTAGATTTATTTATGCTTGCGACCCAAGGCAGGAAGTTAACCTTGAAAATAAGTTAAAATTTGAAAGGTAGTAAATCATAGGACTGAGATTTATAATTTATCTCAGTAAGGAATCTAAAGACCAGGTGTGAAGGAAGAGACATGAGCTAAAAGTAAAAAAAAAAAAAAAAAAAAAACCCTCAAAACAAGAGAACAACCAAAAAAAAAAAAAAAAACCCACAAAACCTGGCTTCTGTTCCAGCACTGATACTAAGTTTTAGCAAGTTGCCTTACTTATCTGGACCTTAATTTTCTCACCTCTCAAAACAAAAGGATTAGCCAGAATGGGGAAGACAAATCAGTGGATGTCTTCATTTGTTCTTCTCCATTTGCTCATGGGAGACATCACTAATCACTCAGTGCTGTATTAGAATACTTTTTAAGACTATGCTCCATGCAGCTAGCCCCCCATTAATGTAGTTCACACACAGACAAAACCTCTTTGTCATCCCTAGGCTACATGACCTTTAAGATGCTCTCCAGCTTTAAAATTCTAATAACTCTATTAAGTAGATAGAAATTTAAGAGTTCAATAATAATCATTCCTCACCATCAAAAGGTAGTCTAGAAAAAAAAAATACAGAGAACTAATAACCCTTCTCTTTAGTTATATCCAGGGCCTGGTATTTTTACTTATTTTACTTATACCCAAGACCTATAACAACCTGAAGAGTTGTTCAGGTTGTAAAGCATATAAGTCACTGTGTGGATTATACTTCTTCAGTGGGTTCAGTGTCTAACCTGCATAGCTGTTCATGGCCCTCTGCTTCCACAAGTTCATTTCTAAATAGCTGTACCTCAGTTCTCTGGCTTCTAATTTGTTTAACTTTATATATTATTTCTGGAAGAGTTATGACTATGAAAAATATTGCTACAGAGGAAAATTTTGATATTCCATACTTTTCATTATAACAGGGTTTTTTTAAAGGTTTTATTTATTTATTTGAGAGACAGTGAAAGAGAGCATGAGAGGCAAGAAGGTCAGAGGGAGAAGCAGACTCCCCGTGGAGCTGGGAGCCTGATGTGGGACTTGATCCGGGGACTCCGGGATCGTGACCTGAGCTGAAGGCAGTTGCTTAACCAACTGAGCCATCCAGGTGCCCTTATAACAGGGTTTTATAAAATTATTTCTCTTGATTTAAACAGAAAGACGTGTGCTGAGAACTCACAGGACATTAGCTGTCACATATAAAACAATAACAACCAAAAACGTAAACTGCCAATGATTAGAAGGAAGTATCATCTGATGCAAACATACATTTCCTTATACACTTATTTCATCAATATTTGTTGATGTTCTAGACACTATGTCAGATACCACAAACGCATTAATAAATAAACAAGACCAATTTGAAATCTCTCTTCTTTGATCTGTAGTCTAACAAGGGGAGGATGGAAATTAAACAAGCGTTGCTCTATGGGAAGGGCAGGGCTGTGAGAGAGCTAGCAAGATAACCCCACTCGGGTGTGATGGGGTGGGGACAGCTTCTCCAAGAAAATTTCACCTTGGCTGAGACCAGAGGAGGAGCAGGAGTTAGCCAAATCAAGTTGAAGGTTTAGAAGAGGAGCATTTCCCGCAGAGGTGATAGTATAGATAAAGGCCTGGAAGTGAGATATGTCATAGCAACTGGAGGAACCAAAGGAGAGTAGTCAAGTGAAGAAAAGGAGGCAGTTTCAGAACACAACTGGAAGGGTCCAAGTGAGTGACAATGCTGATGTGGATGAAACTGGAGATGGAGATGCAAAGCTGTATGAAGTACAGTTTTTGTAGCTATTTAGAAGTTAGAATAAACACTAGTTTGATTGTTAGGTTATGGTAGGGGACTTGAAGGGAAGAGTTAAGTCAGATGTCTAATTTGGACCCTTGAGTAGGTGGTGGTGCCATTATTCAAACCCCTACACAAGAGAGGGGGCGAGTTTGAAGAAAATAGAGGGTAGTGAAGCAGGAAGCGTGGTACTAAGTTCTGTCCTGCACAGTGCAGTTTGAGTTACCCACAGAGCATACACAGGGATATGTCCAACTAGCAGGGTGGACACATTGTACTGATAGAGAAAGTTCTGGGCTTGAGATATCTCATTGGCTTTTGTCAATAGATGGTAATTAAAACCTCTCAAGGGTTTGAAATGGTTTAGGGGAAAGTTTGTAGATGGGAAAGAGAGGGCCCAGAAAAACACCAACAATCCAGGGAAAATAAGAGAAAAATAAACGTAAAGACAGGGAAATTAGCAATTCAATAGGTAGGAGACAAACCAGCTGCTTATGATGTCACAAAATCCAAAGGAAAAGAGGCTTTCAAGAAACATAGCTTTCAGAGTTGTCAAGGGCTATGAAAGAGACAGAAAAGATAAGACCAAAAAATACTCCATTAATTTAGCAACCAAAGAGGGTACTGATAACCTTGATATGAGTAATTTCAGTGTTTATTTTGGAGAACCAAGTAATTACTCAGTGGTAAATAGAGAACCCAGATTGCAGTGGGTTGAGACATGATTGGGAATTGAGAAAATCAAGGAGCAAGTATAAAACAATTCTTTCAAGACTCATGGCTGTGATGGGGAAAGAGAAAGACCATAGCAACAGAAAATGGGTGTAGCGGCAAGAAGAAAAGCATGGTCGTAAGAAGAGAGAGACTTGCGGGCGTCTGGGTGGCTCAGTCATTTAGGCAGCCGACTCTTGGTTTCAGGCTCATGC